AAAAAACACCTGAAGGACTCCAGGATGGTGAGAAATAAGATTCTCTGGTCGGATGAGGCCAAGATAGAACTTTTTGGCCTTAATTCTAAGTGGTATGTGTGGAGAAAACCAGGCACTGCTCATCACCTGTCCAATACAGTCCCAACAGTGAAGCATGGTGGTGGCAGCATCATGCTGTGGGGGTGTTTTTCAGCTGCAGGGACAGGACGACTGGTTGCAATTGAGGGAAAGATGAATGCGGCCAAGTACAGGGATATGCTGGATGAAAACCTTCTCCAGAGTGCTCAGGACCTCAGATTGGGCTGAAGGTTTACCTTCCAACAAGACAATTACCCTAAGCACACAGCTAAAATAACGAAGGAGTGGCTTCACAACAACTCTGTGACTGTTCTTGAATGGCCCAGCCAGCGCCCTGACTTAAACCCAATTGAGCATCTCTGGAGAGACCTAAAAATGGCTGTCCACCCACGTTTACCATCCAACCTGACAGAACTGGAGAGGATCTGCAAGGAGGAATGGCAGAGGATCCCCAAATCCAGGTGTGAAAAACTTGTTGCATCTTTCCCAAAAAGACTCATGGCTGTATTAGATCAAAAGGGTGCTTCTACCAAATACTGAGCAAAGGGTCTGAATACTTAGGACCATGTGATATTTCAGTTTTTCTTTTTTAATAAATCTGCAAAAATGTCAACAATTCTGTGTTTTTCTGTCAATATGGGGTGCTGTGTGTACATTAATGAGGAAAAAAAATTAACTTAAATGATTTTAACAAATGGCTGCAAAATAACAAAGAGTGAAAAATTTAAGGGGGTCTGAATACTTTCCGTACCCACTGTATATGCTGTAGTTTCTGTTCTCCACTATATGATGACGTCAGCTTCTGAGACCCCCAAAAATGTGAAAAGGGTACAAAACCAGATCCGGCCAAACCCCTAACCCTTTGATGGAGCACTTTACTAATGAGTTGTTTCAAGTAACACTTCTAAAATGTGAAGTGTTAGGAGGCCTCTGGGAGCAGGATTGAGAAACACTGAGCAGTATCATTGTGTTGGTCAATATCCACACGTACAAGTGAGGGTGAGCCAGGGGAGGATTAGGTGCTCTTATCTCTTAAAGGTTAATCAGTAACTACTGTAGCCTACTAAATACATCCATGGCCAGAGCATATGCACACACACATTTGCATATACTAGTGACACCACATGGATTTCATCATATGAAGGCACTCAAACACTGGAATTCTTTTTTACATTGTTCTCGTTTCTTGTATTAGGATCAGTGATAGCAAATAAAACCTCATGTCAACCTCAACCTCAACGTCATGTGCCAGTAAAGGGTAAAGCTCAGTAGGACAGCGTGTTATCAGGGAGTTGAGTGGTTTAGGGTTGCATGTTCAATATTGCAGATGATGGTGTTTAATATTTGATTCTTATGAAATCTAATGGCAGCATCACCACAATAAGACTTCAGTTACACTGACCTCTTTATTCAGAGTGATACACACTACTAAACCTGGACCAATGTTATATTCCTTCATAAGGAAAGTATCTGCATAAAGGTCTCTAACTATGTTTAAAGGGGTCCTATTATGCTTTTTCACTTTTTTAATTTTAGTCAGTGTGTAGTGTGTATGTTTGAGCATAAAAAAGATCTAGAAAGTTACAAATCTCAAAGTCCACTCCTAAGGGAGATATTTAGTTTTTTAAAAATCAAGAACTACAGCAAACGGCTCGTTTGGACTACAGCGTTTGGTTTCCGGGCTTTGTGATATCACAAATCGGCTCATTAGAATATCATTACAAATAATTCCCGCCTACAGAAATTCGAATGGTTGGGGGGTAGAGAGGGGCGAGGTTGTGGTTAGAACGCTTGGTTGAGTGAGCACATGAGACGAGACGACGAAGAAGAAGTGCTGCTGCAGAGTTAGTGCATCAGAGAAAAC